GAGGGGGAGGGGAGTTCAATTTCTTGAGAAGTCTAGAAAGCAAATTTTTTTGCAAAAAATCGAAAGGCTTAAGAGAGGATGGAACCAGAATCAGGAATCCACCACATTAAATTTCTTCAAGACAGCGTCTAAACTTACACGCCATGGGGATAAAGAGATATTTATTATTTTGTCACACGATATTTACCAGATCTTTCATCCTTTGACTTGTTTCATTTTCCAAACTTGAAAAAAATCCTTTCAGAAAGAAGAAACAAGTTCAGGAAACCATAGGATCTGCCAGATTCCAGTATACGATTGGCCCTATTCAAAAATGTGTTCTAAAAGTAACAAGAAATTGGATAAAAAAAAGTTTCGAACAAGTGTTTTAATCAAAAAAAAGGTATTTAAGTGAAATCATTAAGACTTTATCATTGAAAAGCGGTTTTAGTTCTATTCTGAGCACCGAAGACATTATTTTTTTAACAGACCTCGTAAAATTAATTTGTCATCTTTTCCTGCCCATTTTTATCAATGTTCATTTGGGTTACTTCTCTTTTCATTTCACAATTGCTCTTCTTTGATTAAGCACACCAGTGATGAAAGTCGCTAAATTCATAATTAAAATGTACGAGGGCCGTTCAAAAATTACGCGGACTTGTTGCACAGAAGAAATATTTGACGACATAATCGGGCAAAATTTCACAAATAATATAAAAGAGTCTTTACTTATATGGTCTTCAAATTTCATATCAAAATGTTGTAAATTGGTATTAATTTTGAGTGATTTTTCAGGACATACCATTAAGTCACGGCGCAGCAATCTTTGACGTCACAAGCATTATAAAAAATATGTGATTGAGCTTTCATTTTCTCAATATTTTCCCTTGAGTACCTGTATAGTTTGAGTTACCCTATCTACTCAACATCCAAACACCATTTCTTGTCAAGCTTAAAATCTATTAAACTAGTGAAGAATATTCTTCTTTTTTTGTTTTAAAACTAAAAACTTCTTATGAGATATAGTGTGATATTGGTGACTCTCAATCACGTTCTTTACAGTCCGGATAAAGTTAACTTTTCGTCTATAATCTTCTTCCCGTCCTCCCGCAAGGCCGTAACTACCATTGAGGCAAGTGAGGCAAATGCCTCACTAAATTTTTTAGAGTTTTCTGAAAAGTGAAAAAAATTCACATTGAACATATGAATTATATGTTTGTCTCCGTGCTAAATTAATATTTTCAACTTTTGTTTCAATTTTTGTTTTTTGTTAGAACTTATCCCTTCTAAGAATTTCTCATTCATATTGAGACACAACTACAGTCCGGCAAAAGCTTTTACTGAAGATATTAGTGTGCATATTGTGACATACATGTAGGACCTCGGTTTTTACGGTATCAACGGAAGGACTGGTTCTCTACATCCTGCAATGGGATTCGAACCCGTGATGTAAGGATCAACTCCTTAGAGCATACGCTCTAATCACTGTGCCATGTGGGCTACAATTCAAAACGTAGAACTTTCTAGGATTAAATCTTTCAATTTCTAATATACCCAGGTCTCAGGACCCCCCTCCCCCTGTAAACCCCCATGACTGGCCATCAGGTACTACCCTTGGCCCGTTTGGGACTAGGAATGCCCAGCACCTTTGCCTCACTAAAAATTTGAGCCTAGTTACGGCCTTGTCCCGTATAGCCTTTTTACAGAGGTCTGACTGTCTAAAATATCAATTTGCTATTTGTGGGCGAATGTCACGAGTAGCCTAGTTTACTACATGTTTTATTATGCATATTTTGGATCTATGTTGCCGATATCTCGAGCATTACGCATATTTTAACAAAAGTGTGGTGCGCCGTCAATTCAGGAGACGTCATTTTCACAGTCGTTTCCACGGGAATCGCATCAGAGAAAAATCACTATGTTTCTGTTAATACTTCAAATATTACGTCCGAAATCTAAATACATAATAATAGAACAATTTAAAGGTACATTTGAGAAAATTGTTGAAAAATATCGCGAATTTTAGAAAATCAATGAGTTAAATTTTTTAATCCGCGTGCTTCAATTTTTTTGTCGTGCGCCGTACCTCACCATCAACGATATCAACATACCGATAATTTTAGTAGAATTTTTTTAAAATACAGAAATTTTGCCAAAAATTTAGTGGAATCTTTAAGATACATATTTCTGTGAAATTTTATAACTATATGACGTCTGTAAGAGTAAATAATAGCACAGTCCGCATAATTTTTGAACGGCCCTCGTATAAAGTTGTTTTATGGAAAAAGGCAATGGGTTATAAACTAAATGTAAAATATCTTTTGACAATGTGTAAATGCTAATTTTAATGTTATCTTATCTTAACTTATACATTTGGTCCGTAACTCGGAATCTTTCTCTAAGGTAGGAGGACACAAAAATATGATGCTATCTAGACAATATATAGGTCGAATTTAAAGAATTGGATTCAATTAATATTGCTACAGAATCGAAATCTTGCGTTCTTAAATGAAACATACGGAGATAACAAACAGTATTCAAGATCAAAGTCCTTAAAACAACACAAAATAGGAGCAGAGCAAATACGTGCCTCCAAAAATCTGAGATGGGATCAGGTGCCATGGAAAAGTGAGCATCTCCTGCAGACAGGTCACACCCGCTGTCATGACTGGGAAATAACGGAAAATCTATCCTCAATTCAGTGTATAAATGATGGACTAACAATCAGCACGAAAAACGTCAGTCAGCATTTGACTCAATGATAAATTGTATTTGCTAACAATGTCATTGTATCGACCGTAAAACTCGACTTTAAACGAGACTGCTGATATTCTTGCTTTATAAACTGGTTTGTCAATAATTTACCTCGTTTTAGAAGATGTTCGTACGTAGAGCATGCTCTTGAGTATCAAGTAAACTGAGATATACAAACTCTGTATGCAGGTGATGAAAGTATATTGCTACATAAGTGAGGGAAGTTGACGAATAAAAAGTTAAAGTCATCACGTTTATCATAGAGCTTAGTTGTAAGATTACCATTAACGTCTTTTTCAAGTAAAATATCCAAACTTGAAACAGATGTGTCAGACTCTGTGTTATTATTTATCTCAAGTTCACCAGGATATAAAGTATCGGCATAAGAATGGATATTACCATTCTTGATTGACAATACGTCGTCTATATATCTAAATGTCGTGTTGAAGGCCACAGCAAGTGTTTTCTTCATTTCACACATAAGATTTTAGACACATTCTGCTTCATATGCATACATAATTAGGTCTGCTAATAACGGGGTGAAATTGGTACTCATGGGAATTCCAATTGATTGCTGGAAGACCTGGTCTCCAAAAACCACATAGATATTGTCAATCAGAAACTAAAGCATTTTTTGATGTCAACTTCAGAGTGCTTGTGTGTACAATCAGAAAGTGATTTAACAAAATAATTTTGCAGATGACCAATGACCGGATAAGTAAATTTAAGAGTTCCATTTTTATTGAAAAAGCAGCTGTCAATGATATCAAAAAGCTTGGACTTTAATTTATCGTGGGGAATGGTTGTGTATAAAGTTGTAAAGTCGTAAGTTTTTAATCTGTTGATTTTGGTAAAATCTTGCGATTTCTAATTGTCCAAAACGTCCTTGGTATTTTTAGGTATCTGATTTACACCACTTCTTGAATATACTGTTGCACAGTACTTTTGAAGTTTTTCCTTCACTACTGTCAACATCTTAGTGAGGAATAAAGAAAGACGCTTGGTTGAACATTTACTGTAACCCTCTCTATATCTTTGTAGTGAATCTATGAAGTTTCGGAATCCAATATATATGTAAGTTCAAATCCATTTTGGTTCTTTGGGATATTGAAAATATTCCAAACTGACATATGATTTTGAATAATTTCTTCCTTAGAAAGGGAACTATGAGTATAAGTTGGATTACCATGTAGAATTGAATCCAAGTTCTTCTAAAATACAATTTGTATATGCAGCTTTAAAAACGAAGACAATGTTGTTACCTGCTTTGTCAGCAGGGACCAGTGCGTACTGATCATCTATTTCTTTTATCACTTCTGGCTGGCTTATTGAATACAATAGTTTTCATATTGCCCCTCAATCTTTTAACATAGATCTGATACATTTAATCCATTCTGTCAAAGTGTCAACGTCTTCTTTTTCATGTCAGGGTGAAGAAGAACAAGAACACGATGAAGGATTATGTTTCAGATACTCGATAATTGGCCATGTAAAGTTTTTGCAATTAAAAAGTTTGGAAGCAATAGTCGATGTATACTTGTATGAAATACAAAGTATTGTATGGTGGAATACAAGTCTGGACCCTTTTGTGATTAAGAATATTACTTATATTAACCGAGTCAATTCCTTTATTAGCATATTGAATTTAAATGATAAACGGATTGTTTTAGTTGAATTTTCTTCAGGAAAACGTGGGGTTTAAAAAGCCTTTGATTTGCTGTAGCCATAATCACAGATTCTAGCCTATATTCTGGTGCCAAGGAATCAAAAAAGGGCTTTCCTTGATCTTTTCAAGAAGACTATTTGAAAGATTCAAAGGGACAGAGTTAAGATTTGTGCGAATATAATGTAGACCTAGTTTATTTTGTGTACATAAGGTAGTTTCACCGATATATGGCTGAAATATTGCCGATTCGGCGTAAAACATTAATCAACCAATTAATCAATAACCTAAGGTAGAAATGAATCAAAAGAGACATCCTGTACTAAAAGTTTATTGTAAGACCGATCGATGCCAATGGTTTTTTCTGTAACCTTCTGTGGCAGCACTGGATTTAATAAACAATTAAAATTATCACTTGGATTTGATATGGCTGATGTCGTGACTTTACAATGAACACAGAAAAAGTAATTCATATTGCAAGTATATGAAAAAAATATCTCCCCGTCGTCATTTTTTTCTGTTCACCTTTATTTGCATGATTTCTTCATGACTTCAAACCGAAAATGATTTTCATTATATCTGTAGAAGAATATATCAACAAAAGTTATTTTTATTTATAGTTTATTTTATCATCAAGATATAACAATTCTTTGGAAACACAGATTTTCATACGATGTTAATAATAGCCCTGAAATAAAGAAGAGAAATCTTAAATGACATTCAATAAAATAGAAGATAATGAAGATAAATGAAGCTTATGAGTTTATCAAAACAATACAATCTTGTGTTGAGTAAACACCTCTTAGACATAAAAGTTGGGATCTAATGTAGGAGTAAGCATCCCCTGTCGACCACTTATACCCGCCGTGTGTTCATTTTCATAATAAGATACACAAGCCATTCGTAGACCACTAAGTGTGAAACCAAGCTTTTGTTTCAAATACGTCAGTAAACATTTGACTTTATCATAGTTTGTATTTGCTAATAACAATGTCATTGCACCAACCAATGAATTTGTAAAAAGTTGATTTTAAACGAGATTTCTGTTACCCTTGTCTTATCATATATGATAAACGCTTATCTTACAAACATGTAGAACATAATTTTGCATTTCGAAAAAAAATGGAAATATAACTCTTTATGCATGTGATATGGCTCAGGCCCTTAAGATGCACATCTATAAATTCCGTATTTTAGTTTCAGTTTCGTTTTCCATATTTCGTAATTTCTTTTTTCTTTATATAATATTTTCGTTTTTCTTTATATACATGTAATGATTTCGTTTTTCTTTATATAATTATTTCGTTTTCTTTATTCAATAATTTCGTTTTTCTTTATTTTATAATTTTGTTTTCTTTATTTCATAATTTCGTTTTCCTTTATCTAATAATTTTGTTATCTTTATTTTTTTTTAAATTCAATAATTTCGTTTTTCTTTATTCAATAAATTCTTTTTTCTTTATTTTTGGTCTGCATTATTAGGCTTCCGTAGATATCTGTATATATGACTACATCAATAAAATTAACGATGGGAAAGTTGAATTCAACACGTTTATCATAAAATTCAAGTAAGCATGAACAATAACAAGAATGAACACATACTCCGTATTTTTTGCCACCATATCCATATCCTTTGCCGCCAAAGAAACCTCTACCAATTCCTCTGCCGCCAAAATAGCCTCTAAATTTTCCACCATAATAGCCTCTAAATCCTGGACCACCATAATAGCCTCTCCCAAATCCTATTCCACCATAATAGCCTCTTCTAAATCCTCGGCCACCAAAATTACCCCCGAATCCTCCATAGAAATTACGAAAATATCCTGGACCCCCATAGTAAGATCCTAAAAAGCCGCCTTGGTAGTATGGCTGGTAGCCATAACCATAGCTTTTGCCGTAGTACGAGCCATAGTCGTCATCACTTACGGCTAAAGAGAGCAGTGCAAGGCAACACAGCAGCTTGAACATCTATTTAAAACAGTATTTGTGAAGGAATCATTTTTCGGTTTTTGCTTAAGGGAGTAATGCATTACCACATTACTTATCTTTTTTAATGAAATGTTTAATTTTTGCTAAAGTAACAAGAAAAAACTATAATTTTATTAATTTCACTGTACTGTATTTCAGACAAAAATATTTCAGAATCGTAGAAATTTCTAACTTAAAGAGACTTGGACACAGACTTGAAGTGAATATTTTCAAAACTTTAAGTTAATACTCTAACAACATGATTTATTTGTTACTGTGGCAGTCACATCAGAATGTTATAAACCAGTTTAGATAATTTTTTTATGTGGAAATTATTAAAACTACGAATAAATGAGGGGTTTGTTTAACACTTATTCTTGCACTCTCACGAAGTAAAATTTGTCATTATTAGTTTTTTTAAAATAAAATTTTGTTTTGTATGAATGAAAAATATAAATATATTTATCCAGAAATTCCAGTAAAGATAAATAAAAGGGCAGAACCAACTCACATATATCGTAAGTCTGATCATACCAATTGAATTTTAAGAATTTATGTATGAAGAATAAATTCAATTAATTGAGGCAATAGTTTAATAAAAAAAAAAAAAGAAAGAAGGAAATTTACATTGAAAACAATGCAACTGAGTCCAGGTCCCTTTTAGACTCGTCGCTGAGAAAAGAATATACATATTATTAGATATTACTGGAACATCACTTCCTGCACAAAATGTTTTCAATCCCCATAACACTACTTCTTTTTATAAGAATTTTTTTTTATCATTTATAATCATTTTGTAGACCTGAAATTATCTTCATTTATATTATATTGGAATAAAATAATCTAAAATAAAATTAAAATGTTGCTTTTAATAAAATCTCATAAAAACAATATTGCAAAATCTAATGCATTTCCGTCCTTTTATAAAATAATATAATAAATAGTATGAAATGTTTGTACACGATTTTTTTTTTATTTCCAATAACTTAAGTTTGTAATTTCTCAAAAAGTAAACTTCGAGAATATTATAGTTCTTACCTTGGTTGATACAAAGAGTTTCAGAAATTATTATGATTGAAAGAATGGTACACGTCTTATTTATACTAAGTTTTCAAAACCTTTAAATGTTAAATTTCTATTTTAATTTTCAATGGTTTTTAAAATGGATATTGAGAAAATTGATTGTATTAACCTTTTTGTTTTGATATTTGAATGATAATTAAGATCCGTAATCTTCATATTGTAAAATTTAAGATATCCATTATCTTGTCCTTCATAAAATCCCCTTTTCTATCATACTTTTCCATATTTAAACATTAATGAAGCAATAAGATTAATGTGCAATTAGTTAAGAATGTGCCATTTTCTGATTATTAACTTACTGAGGCGATGGGTTCCGGTGTAGCAAAATCTGGTTTCGAAGAGATATTATCTCGAGAACATCTGATTAAATGGCAACTTCATTTATTATTATTATTATTATTAAAATGACTTAAATCTCAAAGGAACTTTGAACTTACAACAAAAATCAAATGTTCACCAGTTGATTGGAGTTTATATATGTAATTTTGAGTGATAATCACTTGTTTGAACTCAATTAAAAAACTTGACGACAACTCCTTGATGTAAAATTGAAATAAAACTATAAACATAATTTCATTAGATTTTGTCCTTGTCATTCAAAGTCATAAAAAAAGTTACTGATATAGTGGCTTCTTTTATATTTATTACAAAAGGAAACATTCTGAATACTAGAGGTACTGTGAGCACAGCTCACCTAATGATAGCACCACCTCTCTTTTTCTTTTAATCCAATATTGATTGTATATATCCCTTTAAATTAAATATACTTATCTTGTAATTAAGACATTCATGAAAATGATTTTTAATGATATACAGGCGTCTGCTACTAAGCTACTTACAAGTATTCATAGTAACTGTGATTTGAGTTAAAACCAGGAATATAGTGCACATTTCCAGTATATTTTAATTGGCTCAGTAATATTTTACATTTAGTTATTACAGCAGTATTTATAAAATACATTACATCTATTTATGGGATGAAGGAGATCTCTAATTCTACCATTTGGTTAAGAACCGGACCTCTCACTGAAATTTCAAACATTGTTTTGGTAAATAATTAAAATATCTCAATAATTCATTTTAAAAACCAGAGAGTTATATAAAAGCTAACATTTGTTATATTTTTGGCAAAAGTTGTTTAAATAAGGAGTAACTGGCTTTTTTTTCTCATAAACAGTGAAAAATTTGAAGAAAACAAATAGAGACGGTTTTCATAAAACAATGACAATCATAAGATTTGTCACTACTCTTTCATAAAACTATCTTCCGTATCAGCAATCTTAAAACAATTATCGAGACAAATGTCATTCTAAGTATTACAAGGAAATTCAAAATATGTTTGCATTAAGTTTAGTTTTGTTCTTTCTCTCTCTCTCTCCTTTTTTTTTTTTTTTTTTTTTTTTTTTGAAAAATTGCATATATAGTGTTTCTCAAAGTTCTTTTGCAGTTATGCTATTGGAAAAAATTAAACATATACTGCATCATTTTCAATGTGCCTGGGGAGGGGGTTTAAAAAAGCTAAATTTGAATTAATTTCTAACAAAAAATGGTTGAATAAAATAAACAGAAAATGTATTCGTGCTCAGATATTTGTAATGCTGGAAAAAATATATGTGACACTACTCACTTAATTTTCCTACTTTTTTTTTTTTTGCCTTTAATAATGATTTTGTTTTTGCCAATAAATTTATTAAAAACACGTTATTGTTCTCATTTCGTTCATTTGATTTTTTTTTTTAACATTTTATGAAGAAAAAATAACAAAATAATCAATGCTTATAGCCTAAGAAGAGAAACGAAAGAACAATTTCAAATCAGACTTTCATAGTTTCAAATGCAATGAAGAAAATGTGTCAGATATTACAACAGTATTTATACATTCCGTTAGATCTATAATGGGTACAATGAGAACTTAAACTTCTGTGAATTTGATTTTCATATGATAGACATGTTTAGTGTCCAGAAAAATCGCCTTAATATCACAAAATCAAGTAAAGGGTATAAAAATAGCAGGATGGCTTCATTTTTTACTTACATGAACGGGACCATAAAAATCATTTAAATTTTTATTTATGAAAAAATGGGTATACTTAACAATTCAATAAATCAACTACATGTTTCACTATCTCAAATTTGTTTAGACATCGTAAAAATTACATTCATTAGCAACGTTTGATCATAGAAATTATGATGTTCTTACGAGGAGGTTGAGTTCAAAAGTAAATCATTTTGAATGGAGTAATACTAGTAAATAGTATTTGGATAATACATATAAGCACTTATAAATGGCCGTATAAAGCAAGGAGTGGGAGAAATATCAATTCTGAGGGGCCACAACCAAACAAAACGACCTGAATTTAAAAAAAGATAGTACAAACACATAGTAGTACATTTTTATCTTCTAGAATTAATTTGAAGATTTAATTTGTAGATTATTGTGGTGGGATGTCACTGATAGACTACCCTAATACAGTCTAGAGGATTCATCTCTTTATCATTGTGGTGGGATGTCACTGATAGAGTAACATGATACAGTCTAGAGGATTCCTCAGTCTCTTTATTATTGTGGAGGGGTGTCACTGATAGACTACACTGATACAGTGTAGAGAATTCCTCTCTTTATTATTGTGGTGGGGTGTTACTGATAGAATACCCTGATACAGTCTAGAGAATTCCTCTCTTTATTATTGTGGTGGGATGTCACTGATAGACTACCTTTATACAATCTAAAGGATTCCTTTCTTTATTATTGTGGTGGGATGTCACTGATAGTATACCCTGATACAGTCTAGAGGATTCCTTTCTTTATTATTGTGGTGGGATGTCACTGATAGAATATCCTGATACAGTCTATAGAATATCTCTCATTATTATTGTTTTGGGGTGTCACTGATAGACTACAGTGATACAGTCTAGATTAGTGATCTATTTATCATTGTGATTGGATGTCACTGATAGACTGCCCTGATACAGTCTAGAGGATTCCTCTCTTTACTATTGTGGTGGAGTGTCACTGATAGACTACCCTGATACAGTCTAGAGGATTCCTCTCTTTATTATTGTGGTGGGATGTCACTGATAGACTATCCCGATACAATCTAGAGGATTCCCCTCTTTATATACACACTCACCCCTTTAAGATATCATTCTGTTTTTATTCAAAAGATAATCTGTCACAATATTTACTTCAGGCATCTAGTTGTCCTTAGATGTCGTTAAATCATATCGTAAGATATGACGGTTCTGTTGAACAGCTATGGTGCAACTTTAAGGTAAAGTTCTCTCTTAAGTCAGGTCATTTAAAACGATCCTCTGTATTCAAAATCAAAGGTCCATAAGAGATAATTTAATTTGAAGCAGAGAAAAAAAAGGACTTCTAAAACATCACAGGTGGGATCAGGTGCCATGGAGGAGTGATCATGCCCTGCCGATCGGTCACACCCGCCGTTTGCTCCTCGTCATGATAAAAAATTAATGGAAAATTCCGTCGAAAATTCAGTTTGTAAATAATGGCTTAACATTTAACAGGTCGGAGAGAATACTCGAAATCGGGTATTATCCGTGAAATCGCGTATAATACTCGATATTAGGGTATCGTTGAATCCGCGAAATCGGGTATAGGATGTGTAATCACCTAATAAAACTTAAACAATGGGATGGCGCATGTTGCCGAGTTAACTTTCATCTAGATACACATGTTTTCTAAAGGTATCACTAGCCAGGTAAGAATTTGGGCGTCAAGATTAATGCGCTCGGGACAACAAATACCCGTGGAGCTCAGTATATTTCATGATCTGCACACAAAAAGGCGTTCGATTTGCTTTACATTTTTCCTTATGTTGAAAGTATATGCATCTTCCTAATGTTCATTCCCAACACAACAGAATTGTAAAGTATCAGAATTTGGGAATTTATGATAATTCCACATCAACACGACAAACATGAACAATTTGTAAATAAATCAAATTATACGGAAACACATTTCACACACCAGATATGATGCCATGTATAAACAAGGGATTGTCTATCGTATCTAATTATGCGTCATTAATTGCTTTCACATTCATCTTGTGCATAAAATCAAATTTATTTATGAATGTATAAATAATGTAATGATAAAAATGTCTAAAATTTCGGCTAAAAGAACCCTCTTTCTCTTTTTTTGAAAATCTTTTCTTTTTTATTTATCATTCAAACATATTTGCAGAATATGTATTCAACATTTTAGCAGAGACAGTGATAGTTTCAGGAATACAGCTTATGAGAGAACATAACTGTTGATCGTTTAACGCTAAGTCATAAATATTTTACCATGATTTCTTGGCGACTTCAAAGGGGGGGGGGGGGGCTAAAGGCTTCTTGACCACCTCTGACAAAACAACCTCGACTGTGTTCTACATGTGTCCAAGAGACCTCTCTTTGAATGTCACGGTCGGTTAAACTCGGTCATATATTTTTAATCGTAGGGAAGATTTATTCATCAAATAAAAATCGTATACATTGTAGGTAAACAAAAAGCAACCTGTTATTTTCTAAAACAATATAAGACTACAAATAACTAGAATTCATGTTTATTTTTTAAACACATTTTTTCATTATAGATGAGTATTAGGAAAAGTTATTGCCATGAGTAATACGTATCACAGATAAAATAACTACCGGTAAAAGAAAACTGTGTCATATTGTCTAGAACCAATCAGATAGTGCGTTGTATTAGCATATTATAATGAGGTATAAGATAGCGATATAAAAAAATATAGAGGTAAAGAGGTAAAATTTACCCTGTCTATCAAATAGTATAATAAAGAAAGGAAGTGGCTACGATTTTTATGAAATTTTAATGTCCGATGAGGAATTATATTCCCAAAAAGTAAAACAAGAGTTTCCAAGGCAATTGAACACTCCATTATTTCAGTTTGTTCATTAACATGTTCATAAACGTAAAAACTATAAGAAATGTGAAAACTTGACTATGTAATTCATATTGCAATATGACTGTACCTCGATCTATATTGAGAAATTCAG